AGAGTTTTATCTTTAAGGCTGATTTTGAGAAAGCTTATGATTGTGTGGATTGGAACTTTCTTGATTGGATGATGGAACAAATGGGGTTTGGAATTTGGTGGAGAAAGTGGATTCATGAATGTCTTTCGACAACTCGGATATCTATTTTAATAAATGGAAGTCCGACAAAGGAGTTCTTGGTTGGCAAGGGTCTTTGTCAAGGTGATCCATTGTCCCCATTTTTGTTTTTGTTAGTGGGTGAAGGGTTGTGTGGTATGGTTAGAAAAGCAGAGGCAGAAGGGCTTTTCAAAGGAGTCAAGATTGCAGAGGGTGGTATGGTCGTGTCTTTACTACAGTTTGCGGATGATACTGTTTTTATGGGAAAGGCAGAGGTAGAAAATTTAAGGACAGTGAAGGCTATTCTACACTGGTTCGAATTAATTTTGGGATTGAAGATCAATTTTTGCAAGAGCCATTTGTATGGGTTTAATGTTACAGAAGGGTGGTTAAATGGTGCAGCTGATATTTTGCATTGTAAGATAGGAACGATGCCTTTTACTTACCTTGGTTTGTCAGTTGGAGGAATTTTGGGGAGGAAAAAGTTTTTAGAATAAGCTTGCCACCTGGAAACGTTCACTGCTGTCCTTTGGAGGTCGAATTACCTTGCTCAACTCGGTACTTTTTGCTCTTCCTATTTTTTACTTGTCGTTATTTAAAATTCCAAAATGTGTTCTTGTTAAGATAGTTAAGATTCAGAGAGATTTCTTTTGGGGTGGAGCAAATTTGGAGAGGAAAATTGCATGGGTAAGTTGGGATCATATTTATGTGGAGAAGGAGAGAAGGGGTTTAGAAGTGGATGATTTAAAGAGGAGAAATTGGGCTTTATTGGGTAAGTGGTGGTTTAGGTTAGGTGATGGTATCAGGGGATTATAGAAGAGAGTGATTTGGGAGAAGTATTACGGGGGTCGAAAGGAGGTTGATATTACTTCTTTCAGCTCCTTGCATATGTCTTGAGTGTGGAAGGACATCGTGGGTGTTGGTAGTGGGTCGAAGAGGTTGGGTTTAATGCTAGGAAAAGGCTTTAAACGGCAGATTGGTGATGGAAGTCGAGTGGCTTTTTGGGATGATAAGTGGGTTGGTGATAAACCTTTAAAGGATTTATTTTCGAGATTGTATGCGTTATCGTTGACCAAGGAGGGGCTATTGAAGGATAAGGGTTTTTGGAGTAAGGGCACATGAGTATGGGATTGTAGATGGCGACGAAGCTATTCCGGGAGGGTTGGTGAGGAGGAAGAAAGGTTTAGGGAGATTATTAATAGAATCAAGGTAAAGGAGAATAAAGATGATTCATGGAGATGGGCTCATAGTACTAATGGTGTTTATTCTGTTAAGGATGCATATGTTTTTTTAGCTCCTAAGAATGATCTTTTGGCTGAGAAATGGGTGAGAATCATTTGGTGTAAGTTTGCTCCATCTAAAGTGAGTGTTTTTGGGTGGC